CCCCCCCCCCCCCCCCCCCCCTGAAGATAATATGGATGTGCATGGCCCTCACGGCCATTGCGAAGCAGAAATGAGAGTCAGCATGGGCGGGCGAATGTGCGGCCTAACGGTGTGCTCCAAGGAGGCAGAGTCTTTGGGCGCTGCCACGCTGGAGGCACCAGGGCTCGCTCGCTTGGAATCCGCTGGCCAGGACGGGGACCGTGGCGTACCAGGGTAGCCTTTGTGAGCTGCCCCTGCCGTGAGGAGTCGATGCTGGTGTTTTACGCGTGTCGAATATTTGAAGAGGGAGACACTTGCATCTCAATGGGGGTTGAAGAGACAGAGAGTGGGGAGGTGATGCTCAGGTCTAGTCCGCTAGGCGCCTCGCTTCCGTGCAACCGAGGAACTTGTGCAGCTTTGTCATGGAGGCTCTCATCTCGCACTGGTAGCGTAGAGCCCAGCTTTCTTGAAGCGGGCCTTTTTGACTAGCTGATAGGATACGGTACCCTCGCTTTAGGTTCTGCGCCAGAGCAGTTTTCGATTGTGGTGCAGTCGGGGCCATCAGGGCTGGAGTGGTCGCAAGCGGCACTGGTTGTTCTTGCTTCGTTCTGTACGCTCGATGCAACAGAGCATGGAGGGTTGCTGCATGGTGTCTTCTTCTATGCATGTCACATCTCCCGTAGCTGCGGTTTACTATGTTGTGTTGCGGCCCCGTGAACCACTCGGTGGAATTTCACGCATTCGAGAGGGAAAAATCCACACGCATGTATTGCGAAGGAATGAAGTGTGTAGTGGCCGGGAGACACAGATGTCGCAGGATTGGCTTGTTGTGCTGGGAGGGCGCTTTTTGAGCGCGGCCGCTTCACACCTCGCAGCCCGGCCAGCCACTTCGAGTTCGCTGCTGGGACCTGGAAAGCAAGGGTTGGAGATGATTCCAGCAATCAAAGAGCAGCATTTGCATGAGGCACTTACTGTTCCTGTCCCACCGAAGATGTCGGACAAGGTCAGCAAGAAGGCCTGTCGTTGTAGCTTTTCTTGCCACGAGCGTCAGCGGGTCGCGTCGTGTCGCCAGGTCGCTGAGCTTGCGCCGGATGGCTTGCAACCGGGACAATTTCTGCCTGCAGAGGCGAAGCGGGGGCAGTTTGCATTTTGTCTCGAGGGGATCCTCCACACAGGCCGTGGAAGAGTGGCAGCCTGCGGTGCTGGTGGAGGGCTCTTTGCAGCTCAACGTGAGGCTCAAGTGCTGTGTACTGTTCAAAGTCAAGGGTGGCGGTTCCGGAGCCAAGACAAATTTCACTTTCACCAGCTTCATCCCCAGCAAGGATCTCGGAGCAGGATCCCCTGCCAGCTGCGGCTGTCATGGAGTTGCTCAAGGTCAGGTCTGTCACGGGCTTTGTGATTGGTGCTCGATTGTATCTTGCAAGCAGTACTCTTCGCACTTACCATGTGCTCCTGTACCTATTTACTTGTAACTCCTTTCAGTCGCCGTTACCGTTGTATGTTACAAAACTGCGGGCTTTGCGGCATCATGGGGCATCCTTGTTGAGAGCCGTGCATCTCCTGCGAAGTGGGTTGCCAAGCTTCAGTTCGGGGGTCCGGAGTGATGCGGAGCGGATGTCTGTGCCTGTCTTATAGTGCTTGTCGTTGCCCGAGAGAGAGAGAGAGAGAGAGAGAGTGAGAGAGAGAGTCCGGTAGTTGGCGCTGGACAAAGAGAGCGAGGAGATCGCCGAGCAAGCGGCAACGAATGTGCATCTTGATGGGGCATTCAGCATGATATGGCTGCGATGTGAGTCTATGACCTTCAACAGAACCGAGAGGCATGGAGCCGGAAACCCAGGCTAAGCCATGCCCTCCTCTCCATCAACAAGGAGTACCTTGCTGCAGCCACGCGCCCCAAAGTGCCTTTGCTGCAACCTACGATTTCCACTTCATGTGCAGAGGGCAAGGTGCTCTTGAGAATTCTGTGAGCAGGGGCTTCGGGCTTGAGAGGACAGGATAAAATGGTGAAGCACTTGTCCGGCATTGGAAGCTGTGGGGAAGACTGGCCTGGGCCGCGAGAGATCCAGGGCTGACCTGACCTCCTCGCCTCAGAGTTTTCCGAGCTGCCCGCAGCTTTATCACAGACTGGAAGCATTCCCACAGACAAAGTGTTTCAGCGTTCACAGCTGGATCACAGGTTTCGCAGAGAGCTCGCTCACAAACTCCTCGCAACGTCCCACCAAGACTTTAGAAGCGGTCCGCAAGGATTCCAACGACAGCTGGAGTGACAATTCTAATCCACAGTCTTGAACGCAAGTAGTTTCTTTCGCGGGATCGGGTTCAGCCTGTATCGAGTCTGATCACTTTTGGTTGTTGCATGCATGATATGGCAGGCTGCAAAATCGTTTTGTCAGATTACACTACAAGGCCCCCGGCCCGAACACTGAAGGTGCCAGAGGCGCCTACAGCGGTCAGCCGACAACGCCGGCAGCGTGCCCGGGCCTTGATCGAGGAGGCGCTGCGAGTCTGCGAGTGTGGACGGCAGCTGGCATGAGCGAGCTGAGAGCCATTTCCGGGTTCAGTTACAATGCTTGGCAGCTGCCACTCGCAATGTGAGTATTCTAAGGGGTCCATGAAGCGAGGCCATAGCCGAGCCAGAAGGCCATGAATTTCGCTCCGTTTCGTGAGGAGAAGTGGCTCCTGGGCCTTGGCCAGAGTGCACTGGAGGCCTCCACGGCTGGTCTTCCGGCGTCTGCCTGGCCACGGTGCCGTTAGTTCGTCGTCATGAGTTCTAGGCCTTGTTGAAGGAGACACGCTCCTATTTAACCGCCTGCTTTTCCTACATCTAGTACCTGACACAGCAATCATAGCATCATGACGTCAGCCATCCAAACTGGCTCAGACTGACCAACAAGCTACCCTTGCACATATATATATATGTAATATGTGTGTATGTGTGTATATGTATATACCCACATATATATATATACATACATATATATATATATACACACACACACATATATATATACACATACATGGGCTGCATAGTATCCCCCCTGCATTTCGGCACTGCTTACTATTGTGGAACTAGCAACTGGTTTGGAAACCCACCGAAAGTTTATAAACCCAGGCAAAGTTTGTGAACCCTTGGTATCCTCGAATCTGGACTAAAGAATATATATACATATATATATACACGTATATATGATTATATGGTTATATTATTATATGATTATATGGTTATATTATTATATGATTATATGATTATATGATTATATTATTATCTTATTATACTTTTATATTAATATATTGATATTTTACTATATCACTATATTATTATTTTATCATGTTATTACATTCTTATATTATTATATTATTATACTATTATATTATTATATTATTATATTATTATCTTTATTATATATAATTATATAATATGTGTATGTATATATAT